GAGCCCAGATGACCGTGGAGCTTTGGTCGTGCGCTATGTCTGGGGTGGTGCTTAGGGGAAACATTTTTTACCTTTTTGCTTATGGTGGTTTAGTGGTGGAAGTTTAACCACTTAACTGAAAATTTTGGCTCCCCTTGGTTGCATTTGTGGTTGTTGTTGCTTGCATTTTTGCTTATGGTGTAGTGGTTGAAATCCCCACCCACTGAACTGCTATTTTTTCATTTTTCCGCCCCCCTTCCAACGTCAACCAAGGTGCTGGCCTGTGCTCGCAGCGCTGGCCGTGTTCCAGTGAGCCCTGCGGATTTCTTGTATCCCGGAGATGCGGACGGTGCCAGCTGTCAGCCATTCCCGACCGTTGTGTTTTGCATCGAGCTTCCGAACAGAAACATGCTGGTTGGTGCTGTTCTTTTGAGGGATCTCTCAAAATCGCTGGGCTGTCCCTTTTGATTTTCCCTTGAAAACGACAAAAAAGGGTTATCTCAAAAAAAAAACACATTCATATCCAACTGTGCTCCAAGCCCCTTGCCAGTCGTCAGGCCATGGCAACTCGGATTCACTGACCAAGCCTAAGGATTGTCATCCAGATTGGGTCCCAAGGCCATTCTTATGGGGGTTGAACCCTAGGGTATTTGTTCGGTTGTTCGCATTCCAAGAGTTGACTTGCACACATTTGGTCTGAGTTTCACCTGTCAAGCATCTTCTGGACGGAGAACTGGTCGACGGCCTGCGCGTGAACGGTCACTCGAATTGCTAGACAGAAGATATCTTATATGCGCATGCGGCAAATAGAAGGATATGATATGGGGAAGTGCTGTGTGTGTGTGTGTGTTTGTCTTTTTGAGGGTCGTGCTTGTGAAATAGAGGGCGACCTTAAAATGGCAGTTTTCCTTTTGGCTTCCCTCTACACCAACCCCGAAAAGGGTCCCTTAATTTCTCAACAAAGCACACGCTCATACAGATTCGACATGTGCTTTCTGAGGGTACCCGTTTTTGTAGGCTGGCTACAAGAAACAACTTTAGCTTTTGGAAAGTTCAACTTTTAGCAGGGGATCTGAGGGCAGCCCAGGAAGGAATCCATTTGTGGGGGATCCCCTAATTTTGAGACACACGCATCCTCCTTCGACATATTCCTTAGAGGACGCAGCACGAAGATGGTGTGCAATTTGTCCAGACCCCCTCTCAGCTCAGTCAACGAGTATTCACCAGCAGCGAAACCAAGCAAGCGGATCAAAACGGGCTGCCTGAAGCTGGTTACAGACACAACAGAAGTGGTGGATTAACTTGGACTTCAATCACTTTGGTGGCTCCCAGCCATCCGGTTCCTTAGCTTTTCGCCTTTTAGTGTTGAGTGGTCCAGTAACAACATCCGTCGTTATCCATCACAAAGCGGTAAGTGGGAGGAGGACCCTCACTCCTTACCTGCTGGCTTTCAGCTTCCATGGCTGCTTGGGCATGTTAAAATAAGCTCGGGCGATATCCCCAACAGCACCACACCCTCCCAGAATCCTCGCGGAACGCCCCGGGACCATCCTTACCGCCGGTGTTGCTGAGGATGCCGCCTTGTAAAGCAAAGCTACGAGTGACAGCGCAATCTCGCCCTGATCGGGGCCCGACGGCGAGATTGGGGCCCGATCGGGGCCCGACGGCGCAATCGGGGCCCGATCGGGGCCCGACGGTGCAATCGGGGCCCGATCGGGGCCCGACGGTGCAATCGGGGCCCGATCGGGCCGACGGTGCAATCGGGCCCCGATCGTCCCGTGGCAACCCCAGCCACCCATATTATAGCTCAACGCCGGTTTTCCTTAGCATGCGGATTGCAACTGCATCTATAGCAAAACTAGGCGATGCCAGCTTGGTACAATTGACCGATCGGGGCCCGACGGCGCAATCGGGGCCGGGGCCCGATCGGGGCCCGACGGTGCAATCGGGCCCCGATCGTCCCGTGGTGCAACCCCAGCCACCCATATTATAGCTCAACGCCGGTTTTCCTTAGTATGCGGATTGCGTGTATCTATATAACTAGGCGACGCCAGTTTGGTACAATTGACGGGGCCCGACTGAGTCGGGCCCCGATCGGGGCGCGATGGCGCAATCGGGGCCGATCGGGCCCAAACGATGCCGACAGTGCAATCGGGTTCCGGTGAACCTCGCAAACCGTTTTCACGCAACTTTCGTGGAGCTCAGCGTGAAACTTTGCTGGAACCTTTCCTCAGGGCTGCCCCATAGCTTTTGCAGAATTTGGAAACCTTCTGACCTCATAGCCCTCGCAGCCTCGTGGAAGTCTTGCAACCCAAAGCAAACCAAGCAGCAACCGCAGCGACGTGATCTGATTTGCCACAAAGCCAACATTTGCCTGAGCAAGTGAGCAAGTCACAAAACAGTGAAAGTGTGCTAAAAGCCATTGATTTCGGTTTTGCTTAGTGTTCCGCCCATGAGCAAAGCGATCTTGATCTGATGGCTTTTCAGACGACGGGCGCACGACACACCCTTGGTGGAGCATTGTGGAGCCTTGTGGAACCCGTGTGGAATCCTTGCAGAGCTTTGTGGAACCCTGTGAAACCTCAGCGCCCACAGCCCTCGCAGAATCTTGTGGAACCCTGGAACCCTCACACAACCTTACCTCAAACCACCCCGCGTGGCCCGCAGCCCTCGCAGAACCTCGTGGGACCCTGCTAGAACCGTGCTGGAATCAAACCAGCCCGGGTGGAACCTTACCTCAAGCCACCCAGACCACCCCGCTGAGACCCCAAAGCTTTCAGCTGTTGGGGGAAAAAACACCAAAGGACGAGGGAGCTGTGCCCTCCCAATGTCTCCTTGCATCCAAATGAGCGGCAAACTTCAGTGTCGGATTTGGGCAGCAGGGGGTTGGATTCATGTTCACTAGGTCCCCAGCAATTGGTGCCCCACCTCTCACCCATTTCTTTTTGGGAGGTGGGAGGGAAAGCCCCTGCTAAAATAGACTAGAGAAAGAAGGGTACCCTTCTTCTAGCCTCTCTGGAGCCTAGTTTAGGCTTCTCGTTTATGGCTCGCTCCCATGGGCCGGTGCTTCGATGGGTCTTGCGTATGCATGTTAGGGAGTATTCAGGTTCCCCCCTATCAGTAGACTTGACAGGGTACTTGGGGTCCCACTTGTGATCCGGATCCCCCCGGTATCAAGCAGGTTGATCCATCCCGGGCCAGTGAAGAAATGTGTTCTGAGGGGCGAAGTTCTCCAAGCAAATGATAGAACTATTGCCGAAAGGTAAGGCTTGACACAAGAACCCTTTTATTTCCACAGGAAAGCCGAATTACAACGTAACAGGGTGACAAAAAGCACATTTGCCAAAGCCTTCTGTGTGCATAGGCGGGGAAGTTTGAGAAACTTGAGAGAGAGAGAGAGAGAGAGAGAGAGAGAGAGAGACCATTTTGGCGCATGTGCGAACCGGGGGGTTTGGCGGTTTGGCTGTGTGTTATTGCATACCGCGACGAATCCCACTGACAAGGCCTTTGGCCAAACCCTTGGTGCCTGTGCAAGTGCTGTGGAATTTGGGGGCGACATGTCGGCACGTGTTGCCGGTCGCCTCGGCTGGAGGATGCAATAAGCTGGGCTTGCGGCAACGGTACGTCGTCAAGACGCGATGCCAAATTGGCATCGTTTGTTGTATGCCCATGTGTCCTTCACCGGCCAAGTGCTCGTGTTTCGGGCTGACGCGTCACCTCTTCGAAGCTGCCACGTTTGAGGGGCAGCTTCGTGGCAGGACTAAGTGGTATCAGCTGTAAAGTCTGCTGTGCCATGTAGGGGTGTTTCTCGAAGAGACCTTTGGTTGGGAAGCCAAAAGGAAACACTTGTTTTTTCTTCAGACCTGCACACTCTGCAGTGCGCACCAACTCAAGAGGAAACCCACAAACATATCTAGGGGTCCCCTGTTTCAGGAAGCACCCTGGCCTGCGGAGGGGTCAGTGTAGCCATTAGTCGTTGGGCAGTGGTTTTCGGCGGTTAGTTCGAGTCCACTGCTCGGCAGGAAAGCAAAGTGGTTTTCGGCGGTTAGCTCGAGTCCACTGCTTCGCATGCAATGAACAAAAGGGCGCAGTTGCTGGAAAGCTTCAGCCGAATGATATTTTTTTCAAGAGGACTCCTTGTTGGCGCGCTTTGTTTGACCCAAGCGGCCAACATATTCCAAAGCTGGGCTCCTTTCTTTGGAATGGCCGGCTCTTGGGAGGCTAGGGACTGGGGATTGCTGCTAGCCGATGTTTGGTGCAAAAGGGTTGTGTTTGTTTTGTTTGCTGTTTTTTGGGGTGGAGGCGAGATTTCTTTCCAACATATTTTCCAATTTCGGGTTGTGGTGTCCAAGATTCGGGTCCAATGACCGTGATTACTTTTGAAGGTGCCGTGCGACGATTGCTGTCTAACAGCAACCCTGACTGACTTTCATAGATGGGTGTGGCTCAAAATTTCAGAGCTAGGGTTATGAAGGTTTTAGGCTTTGGTTCCATTTACCAAGGTGCCATTTTAGGACATGGTTTTGACCCACAGCCAGATGCGCAAACATTTTTTCCGGAATCGACATTTGAGTCAGAGCATGTCTCAGGCACCAGCCAGGTCAAACAAGTCTTGGACGTACCCGTGGTTGCTTAGTAGCCTCTTGTTTCCCTCATTTTGTGTGTCGTGGATTCCCCTCGAAGCATACTATCTCAATTGCGCAAAGCCAACTCTTTGACCTTTTGGTTTTCCCTTCTGATCCACTTTGAGTAAAGGTCCCAAAAGGTTAACCTTTTATGTCTACCAGGGGACCCAAAAACCTGCAAACTTGGAAACCGTCGGGTCTTTTTTTTGTCCTGTTTTGAACACCGTGGTGACCGGACCTTAGTTTTCCCTGGGAGAAAACAGTTGGAATGAAAAGACCTGGTTTAACCCTTGGTTGTGGTGTTTCCATGGAGAAAGCCACTTTTTTGTGTGCCATGTCATGAAACACCTCGGGATTTCCATTACAGAAATCCGCATCGGGTGCTTGCAAAGTGAGGCCCTCGGGCAGAACCTACCAGCAGGAGGCCACTTCCGGGAGAGGGTCGGCTGTGAGCTTTTGCTTGTTTGAGGCTCGCCTGTTTGGGCTGGTAAAGGAAAACGAAAGGACCGTCCCGCTTCTTTTTTTTTTTTTTTGAGGGGGGTCAACACACACACACACACACACACACACACACACACACACACACACACACACACACACACACACACACACACACACACACACACACACACACACACACACACACACACACACACACACACACACACACACACACACACACACACACACACACACACACACACACACACACACACACACACACACACACACACACACACACACACACACACACACACACACACACACACACACACACACACACACACACACACACACACACACACACACACACACACACACACACACACACACACACACACACACACACACACACACACACACACACACACACACACACACACACACACACACACACACACACACACACACACACACACACACACACACACACACACACACACACACACACACACACACACACACACACACACACACACACACACACACACACACACACACACACACACACACACACACACACACACACACACACACACACACACACACACACACACACACACACACACACACACACACACACACACACACACACACACACACACACACACACACACACACAGACACACACACAGACACACACACACACACACACACACACACCTGTGAGTCCTTTGTTTCGGGATAGGTTTGGGATGGTTTTGAGAGAATGAATCACTTCTTTGGCAGGCGAGTATATGGCTTTGAAAGGCGGGTTTTGGTTAGTGGTAAATTCAAGGCTTGGTAATGTTGACCCAGGATTAATAAACCCATCCAATTATTTGGGGGTGGTCCCTCCAAAAGTGGTCTGAATCCCCACAAAAGGAATTGGACACCCCCCCCTGAAAAAAATTCAACCAGGGGTTTAACTTCATCCGGGGTTAACATGACCTTGCTGGCTTCCAAGGATGTGCTCAAGATTGAGCAGAAAGGGATCACTTTCACCAAGACAGCAAGTGTGAGACTCTTCAGGAGGTTTTGTTGAAGCAACAGCCAAGCATGCAACCGGACTGTGGCCTGCAAAAGAAGCGGATCCAGCGTAGATGGGTAAGGCTAAGGTATTTGTGTCAAAATAGGAGGACCCCCCCCCAAACAAGAACTAAAATAATAGAGGTTTGGTTGGGTTATGTCTCCTTCAAACCAACTTTTAAAGCAATCCACACAACACAGGCACACACCCAATTGGGAAGCAACCAAGCTGTTGGAGTTGAACAATGGTGGGTTCAACCCCATTTGGACAGGTGGTTGGTCCGGGGGCTGCGAGTCTCGTCGGAAGCTGTGCTAGCTGGCCCGCGACAAGTGGCAGGTTGATTCCTGCCTCATTGGATCCCGAAAACTAAAGTAACTTAAATCACTTGTGACCTCCACGAACTTCCGCCACTTTGATTCACACCTAGGGCTTAAGACCTCCAACAAAAAACCTTTCCCTACGTGCCTTCCCCGGGCGCCATGTGATGACAAGTTCCGTCTCGAGTTTCGCAGGGGCCTAGCCGCTAGCCTGAGGGCTCGCTCAAATTTGTGTGTGTGTTTTGTTCGAGGCTCGCTCGGCACCTCGGCACCTGGTTGAAGGGAACCGAAGAGGAGCACCTTTTGGGTCCATTTTGGGGTTCACCGATTTTGAAAAGCCCGCCCGAATGAGAAGGAGTCCCTGTCTCCTTTGCCTGGGCTTGAAACGTGTTTGACTTGGGACCATTGTTGCCGACAGAAAGCTCGGAGGTGTTTTCAGGCAATCCGCTCAGGAATCGAGCCATCCTTTTCGACCCTTGCGCCTCTGTTTTCCCAAAAAAACAAAATGCGGGTTTTCTCGCGCTTGGTTCTCTTTTTCTTTTCTTATCTTGTTTGTTTGGGGGGGTCTGACAAATTGGAATTGGCAAAGCGATTGCCCTTGCGATGGCACTTGTTGCCTTTCTGTGGAGTTCGTGGCCACAGGATGCGGGAGGAATGAGAGTGTGCTTTGGGCGGCAGCGTTCGCTAGCTGGAGCCTCAGTCATTGCACTTGCTAAGAAATAGTCTGCCAAAAGATCACCTGGCCTGTTGGCCTACTTCAAACTTGTTGGAAGGTGTGTTCATGGTTGTGGAAAATGTGTTTTTTTGGACCAACTTCTGTGGAACCCGTTTTGTTCCACAACCACGGCTTCCTCCTTTTTGTCAATGCCCCCAAACATGTTGCTTCTTAACACCTTGAACGCTGAAATGGTTGGCAGGCTTCAGCCCTGCAACTTGTTCTAGAGCAGTACCTTGAGGCAGGTTTGCCATTCGCAATGGAGGGCTTGAAGCTACAAGCTACTCTCACATTCCCGGCCGAACCCGAGGTGTTTCCGCCGTCCTTGTGGCAGCCAAAGCCAGATGCTGCCGCGTGTGGGTCTTGGACACGAATGCTGGCCAACGCGGTGATCCCTCCTAAAACACAAGAAATTCTAGTTGATTCCCCACTCTTTTCAACCATCGTTCTTTTAAAAAGCCGGCTGTTTCTCCTGGGTTTTTGGTTTCCTGAAGAGAAGGATCCCTGGAAAGAATGGGGAAGGTACCCCTAGAGGAATGCGATTCAGGGCGACGTCTGCTTTTTGGGCCTTCCAAATGCGACACCAACATTCGCCACAGCTCGCACCAAGGCGGACCACTCATGTTGCACATCTCCATGAGCTGATCCAGACGGTGAGGTGTTGCTTCAGGGCTTTGAACCTCAAAAGAGCCTCATGTTGAACCTTGCGAGATGGGCAGCGACAGCCATGTGAAGCTTGTCCAAACAGACCGAGGTGTCCGTTCCGTTCGTCGTACGCCTCGCGGCGCATGTCTTTGGGACGCGCCAGAACTCGGCGACTCTCGCGCTGGGAGCTGAGGAAGCCGAGCACGTCACTACGACGGGAGTATGCGCTGACCTCAGATGCGGCCACGGCTGAGCACAGGGAGTCAGCTGCGGGCGTTATTTTTTTTTGCCGGTGAAACCTGAGGATGCGTTCGGACCCCGCGATTCATGTCTTCCATGCCGATGTTCAAAAAGAATCGGGCACCAACTTATTCTAACCTCTCTACTGGATGACCTAGACAATCAACCCCTCCTATTCTTTATTGGGGTGGTCCCCCTGCAAAGTTGTCTGAACCCCCACTAAACCCAGGGACGCCTTTGAGGGATTGAAGCATTCCTTGTTGAGGGGGTCGCCCATTTTCTCACAAAAGGTGGCAAAAAGACCCCCCGGCCGCACATCCGATCCCAGTTGGAACCACGCCTTATGTGGCAGGCAATGGCTTGCGACTTGAGGTGTACGGCTACAATGGGAGCTGTCGCGCCCTGAGCTGTCTTCTCTGCTGAATAGCGGGGTTGGGTGGGCTTTTCGCAAAGGAGTTGTAACCAACTAGTTGTTGCTCAGGTTTTGGGATTTGAGCCCCTGGCTTTTGTAGAGAGTACTTGAGAAGCCACCTCCAAGCCACAAATTCGAGGCCAGCTGAAATGGTGTATTTTTTGTTGCTTCCCGGGGTCCGAATCCCATTTCTATTCGCTTTTGAAGTGACACCCCTGTGGGGTTGCAGGGCCAAATCAACTCGCGCCCCGCCTTTGGCGGGTCAGAGTGAGGCCGCAACTCCTTGCACTTTATCTCTGAGACAGAAATCGCAGATGCCTCGGAGCTCGGTCATGGCCAGAGATAGCGAGGTATGGAGGCCCTGAGTAGGGGAAGGATCATGTTCGTTTTGGAACCACGTTGCCTACCCAAGGTTTTGCATGATGGGACAAAATGCCCTTGAGGGGAGAATCTGACCACTGGCAGGTGGTGTCAGCCAGAATTGGGCAAGCTATGTTTAAACAAGACCTGGCCGCCTTTAAAGGGAACCCAAAGGTGGTTGTTTAAACAACAGGCGTCACTTATGGTCAACGGTTGGCCAGCGAACCCTCAGCTGGTGCTGAGGTTTATCCTCTTGCCTGTCTTGCCGACTCCTCAGCTCTGCAGCTCAGATGTTCAGTTCCCCAGACCTCCGATAGGTAGGTCCCTTCGAAATCGACGACTGGTACCCAACCAAAGGTTCCCAATTCTTGTTCATGGAAAGTCGGGCGGCTTCACCCAAGACATTTGGCACAATTGAATTGGCTGTGGGTCAAAACCAACGGTACCATTTCGGGGCAAGTGCACCACCCATTTTTGTCTATTTTAGTGGGGGTTGGGATGTTCACCGGGTACGGAATTTTGACCCATGGCCAATTGGCAACGGCCCAGTTTTTTTTTCCCCCATGAGCAAAACACATGCTGGCCGGGAAGACTTCATTGCCAGCTCGCCACCTGCAATCGCTCTAATCGCTCTGTGTGTGCAGTAGGTATGCATCAGGGTCCCAACTGCCGTTATTCTGTTTGAATTGTCAAGCTGGCAATTGTGGTGCTTAGCTGGTTTTCCAACCTTTTCCAAATCTATTCTCTTTTGACAAGCTCATGGAAAGTGGTTGCCCGAAATCTGATTCCAGTGGCGCCCATATGGATCCCCCACTTTGAACCGGCCGGCAGGTTGTCAACTCGGGTGTTCGGATGGTGTCGCCACTGGTCACTTTGGGGATGTAGTTGTTTTCTTTTCGGGGACCTCCCAAAATGGTGGGTTCGTCTTGGTTTCCCTTTAAAGCCACAAACAAAAGGCCATCCAAAAGTCCCATCAAAGAAAGAAACACTTGTCGTTGTGAGCCAGGTAGTTGTCTTAGATGTCACCTCCAACACCCAGCGCTTCTTCGAGGGCCATACCAACGACGTGAAGTGCCTCGCGGCTTTCTCAGCTCGGCACGCCGGGTGAGAAGTTCCCCCCGGCCATGGCCATCTCAGTCAAACCTCGCCTCCCAAGCCTCCCCCCCCCAACCAAAACGTTCTGGCCGGTCAACTCAGCTCAGGCCATAGGTTGGACACCTGATCGCAAGCAAGGTTGCTCGCACAACAGGCCTAAAACCAGGCTCAACACACAATTTGAAGTTGATTTGTCCTTGGAGACAGGGAATTTGGTGGTGTGGTTCAGATGGCTGGGATCTTTGGAGCATGAACCAGGCTTCGAAAGACCAAGTGTTAAAGCATATGATGAGTTTTTCAAAATAGATGGTTGCTATCCTTTCGGTTTCCCTGCTCTTATGTATGGGTAGGCCCTGCCTGGCCTCCAGACTTCATTGCTCATATGGAAACGGCGGTGCTTCCAAATCTCATGTCCCAGACTGACAAAACCACAGGTAGCCGCTGGTTTCAGACTTGCGCGACGAGAATAAAACCAATGCATTGGGTGCTGTGCGCTTGTCAAGACAGACCTTGGCTGAACAAGCATGACACCCCTTGTTTGCTTTCTTGAACCAGTCAGGAGTTAAACCAAATGGGGCTGAACGGCCAGAAAATCCTTGTCTGCTCCCTTAAACCAATCAGGAATTTATTAAAAGGGACCTCATGTAGATTTTAGGTAGTACCACCCGCCGGATTTTTTTTCTGTTTGCGAGGCCTGGAACGAGACAAAGCAGCTCTGCATCTCGGGGCAGGACGACGTCAAGGCGAATTCCGTTGCTTGCTTTGGGATGTGAACACGTCTGGGTGCCAATAGGGGGCCAGGTAGCTTCCCTTGCGAATTGGGCAGGAATTATCAAGGCAGGGGGGCATACACACACACACACACACACACCACTCTGAACCAGTTTGAGTCTAAGCCAAAGCTTCTCGCTGTTTTGCGGGTTTCACTCTATTTCAACCAACACTGCTCCATGCCAAAGGACTATGTAACAAGCCAATGGCAGCATTCCTTTGAGCGAGAGCTGGGTGTTTCCCTCCAAATGGGGGGTGCGACCTTCGCATGCACCCGGACCCGGACCCGGTTTCCTTTTGGTTTCCCCGGCCGGTTTTTTCATGTCGAGAAATTTCTTGAAAAGCTGTCGGCTCCAGCTGGCGCGCAGGGAGCGCAGGGTCCGAAAGCCTGCATTTGGAGCACGGAGACGCTGGCAAGCTTGGACCTGCCCTTGCCCCAGTGCTGGGCTAGGTCCCCCAGTCGTGCCCTTTTGCCCCTTGTTGGGGGGAGGGTTCCGCTACTAAAATAGACTGCGGGAAAAAGGGGGCATGCGGCTTGTGCTCTGAAACCTGAAGAGGAGGGCGCGGGCAGGGTGGCACTGGGTTTTCCTTCGGCAGGTGCGGGCGCATTTGACAGCTTCTGGTGGGGAGTATAAGAGGAAGCCCTACGCAAATGTGAAGAAGGAAGTCGCAGGGAGCAACAAAATCCAAGATTCCCCCCTCCCCCCGTTTCAACATAGAATCGGGCAGGGTTTTGGCATTTCCTTGTTTGGAACGGCAGTTTGAGAACTTTGCAACCACCTGTAAATTTAAGTTGATCAACTTGTTTATTCAGAAGTGGGCAGTTTGTGATCTATGCAACCACCTGCAAGTGGATCAACGTTTGATTCGAAATCCAGCGACGTCCGGGCGAAGTCGGCGTGGAATTCGCCCGTGGGCCGGACTCGGTCGGACGCCTCAGGCCACACCCCGGAGACTCGCGCTCGGTCTGCGCCTGTGCTCTGGGACCCCGGGATGTCGGCAGCAGGGCAGGGCGGGGCGATCTCTCGTGGCGCCCGGTTCGACGGGGTTCTTTGGGTCCCTTGGAAGTTCACCAAATCAAAAGGGGTCGGTCTTTTTTTGTTGGGGGGACCCCCTTGACCACAAGGAAACCAACCATTTTGGGGGCCCCACTAAAGAAAGAGAACCAAAGTACTGAAGGCTTTGTCATGGCCATGGGTTCCACACATTGAATCAATCACATGAGGCTGTCGAGTGCCATGATGGGCATGATGCACGGCTCACGATTTTTCCGTCGGCAAGTTGCGCACACCGGGCTTGTTCGCATGAGAGGCGCCGTGGACTGAGCGGTGGGCCCAAATCCAGCCAAATCACGGGTGGAGGCAATACTAGGTCCCCCAGTAGTGCCCTTCTTAACCCCTTTTTTGGTTGGGAGCCTGCAGGAAATAACTCGGGCACCAGCTTATTCTAAGCTTTCTACTGGAGGACCAAGAATATTTTCATGCTGAGCCGGGGGGAGCCAGTGGCTTCGTTTGAGATGCAGAGGACCCGACGGCAACATCGCGGTCACCTTCACCAGTGAGGATGTCCGGCGCCAAGACGCTGCTCGGAAAGGGAAAGAGGTGCCGACTGTCCGTCCAAGACTTCCGGTTGGGTTTGTGCCAAGAGCAGGGCACCTCATCCTTTCGGTTTCCCGAAACCCCCAAGATTTAGAGAGGCGTCACCCGGACTTTGGGGGCTTAGCACCCCCAAACGCTTGGGGTACCTGCCACCAAAAAGGTCACCCAGGTGACCCCCGAATGAACCCCGGGTGAATTCCGGTAACCCCCGGCGAGCCATCCGAATCGAATGGGATTTCGGGGGATCGAGCAAAGTTTCTTCCCAGACCAAGAGCTTCTACATCTGGCGTGGCAACTTCAGCCGCCTGGCGCCGGCCTCGTTTTTCGGCGTTTCGGCGCCGTTTTGCGCCCCGGTTTTTTTCGGCGCCGTTTTTCGGCTCAAAGGTTTGGCAACTTTTGGGGGATGGGGTAAAGCTCTCAATGTCTATGAAGGGGACCCGGGGAATTCCGTTTTTTTGATGGTTTTTTGGGGGAAACCAAAAGCAAAAGGGGCAGTTTTGGGGGTTTCTGGAAATGGGGATCGGACCTGGGACCCCCTGTTTTGGGAGAGGGGTGTAACGGGAAACGGAAAGGACACCACCTATCAAGGTCCCCAATCTTGAGAAACAGCCCACTCTTTTGCTACATGGCTGTGGTTGTCAAAACCAATGGGATCCCATTTTGGGGTTTTCGGTGCCCCCCCCATTTTAGTCTATTTTAGTGGGGATTGGGATGTTCACGGGCTTTTGACCCATGGCCACATAGACTTGTGACTGTTACCCTTTACCAGCAGGGAGTGAAGGGGAAACACCCCCAGCAACTTTGTTTGTGGGGGCTTCAGAATTGGGTCTGTTTGACTGAAAGGGTGGTAATGCTCGCCCCCATTTTCTAAGTACAACCTGGCAGATTATAAAGAGGCAAAGCCCCTGATTCATAAACATGGGTTTGTCAAACACGGGGTCTCAACACCCTTTTTACAGTTGTTGCCTTGGAGCAGCGGGGTTTAAGAACCCAATGCTCTAGCTTTAGCAGCTTGAGTTGGGCTCGTGTTATTTTGAGCCAAACCTCGATGGATCTTGAAAGGCTTCTTGTTGCGTGAGTGACTCATGAAGGAAGATCAATCTCAGGCTTGGAGGTGAGTTGCGTCAAGATATGGGTGGGAAGTTTCACCCAAGCTGCACTTCAATCCTTAATTACTGCCCCAGTTCCCCTTTGGTATGCGCTCCAGGCAAAGTTCATTGCAATACATATTTTGCAGGTAAGTTTGGTTGCACATGAATCATTGAATATTGAACAGCTCGTCGGTGCACGCGACATATTCGTGTGTGATCGTTCTCTCCATATCATGCGTAGTTGTTCACAAAAAGCTGGTTGTTTGGCTAACGCAGCTTCTGGGTCGCTGCTTTCTGTTAGGTATGCAGCGTTGCAGTTGACTTGGGGTGCGCACTTGGGACACCCTAGCCTACCGTGCAAAGATAAGCCCACAATTTGCTTTTCAAGACCCATTTTGGCACCACCCATTCCCGATTCCAGGTTCCAGACTGCGCAGCATCATTAAAGCATATTTTTGTCTACGGCCAACTTCCTCTTTGTTGCAAGCATCTCTTTTTTTCGGTGGTCCTGAGCTCTTAGACTCTTGGGCTGCTTGCATGTGAAGGTTCCGAACTGGGCACGAAATGTGCCAGCAGCCCCCCTCCCCTCCCAATGGCTGGCAACTGGCCCCAAAACAGCCATTGGGAGGTCACTTAACAGACCATCTCCATCAGGGGGCCTGGTGTATCCCTTTTGCGGTTAATCAATGAAAGACCTTGTTTTGGATATGTTGCACCGGCGGTGTCCCACAGAGGCCCCGCCGTCTCTGGTTTTTCTCTCGGATTGCCTTTATATCCATCCAAAAACTCTGACTTCAACTTTTAGGGGCTGACCATGTTAGGTTGCCTGCTAAGTAAACTGTTGGGATCTGTTTGGACTTTTTGGGACTTCTTGGAACTTCTTGGATTTTTTTGGGACTTTTTGGGACTTTTTGGGACTTTTTGGGACTTTTTGAACTTAGGAAGTAAGAAGCCGTCGCCCTTGCGAGGTCACCTGTCCCCTCGCGTGAAATGAGGTGGGCAGAAGCGGGCCGCTGACTCCCATGTACTCGTGCTCCTCCGGGCGCCAGCCCGGTGCCTTGGGATTTCCAGCCGCCGATTTGTTCGAGGCGAGCAGCTCGAGTGGGTGCCCCAGTCCAGTGCCCGACCTCTCACCCCAACTTGTTTTTGGGGGAGGGGTCCCCTACTCAAATAGACCACAGCAAAAAGGGTACTCCTGAAAAAAGTTGGTTCCCTGATTCTAACCTCTCTACTGGAGGACCTAGTCTAAAAACCCGCCGTTACATCCGAAGCAATAGTTGTGTCAGAACAAGGCCCCGCGCAAGCAAAACACTGCACGTCGTAAGCCGGCGTAATCATTTTTGGGGAAAACTGCTGCGTAAGCACCCCGCGTAAGCTCATGTTTGAGATAGCTGGGTAGCACGGAAGAGTTGTCTCACACATATGCTAGGTTGTTGTTTGGAAGCTTGTGGTGTTTCAACCAATTTGAGCTTGACTTGTCCGAGTGCTTGGCCGCGAACCCACTTTTTGGATGGAGTTTTGCATGATTTGTTTTGATTGCGGCAGTCAACATTGTAGGGTTGTCGTTGCAAAGCCTATCGGAGCTGCGCTGCTCAGAGACGGAGATGGGGAAACAATCCCTCCCATTTCTTACACACCCTCCCTCTAGCGCTACAGATCCAAGCACACATCCTCTTTCTGGGGGAACAACACGGAGAAGGGGCTTGTGACCGTTTGTTCGGCTGGACCAACTCATGGCTGATGGAGCTTCTCCAGGAGAAGCCAATACACGGGCTAAGGGAGGCTGTCCAAGCTCTGCAGTCAGGAGGCGCAGGCCGCATGCGAAAGAACCCCAAGGGCCCAGCGTACCTCACCGATGTCTTTGAACTGGCGATGCACGCCCAAGCAAGAGACAGTCGCTGGCCTGCGCAGGGGTGAAGATTGCGCGGACATACAGCTTGACACCGACGCCCAACCAGCATTCCCCTGCCGGAGTCACTATCAGGAACAACGTCTTGACTGATTTGACAGCCAAGGAGTCCTTGGGCCAGTCAATTACTGAGACCGTTGGCGAGGAGAAGGAGCTTTGGAGACGAGGCTACGACCTCGCTCTTGGGAACAAGCTGCTGCCGCGAAAGCTAAAACATGAGTCGCGTAAGTAAAGCGCAAGCTCGCGCGAAAGCAACTTGATACGACATAGGGGTTTATGGGAGGTTATAGAGTCGCTCAGGCCGCCTCTTTGCGGGCGTGCTCTTTTGTTGGAGGGGGTGTTCGCTTTTCTGAGGGCGTCCTTTTTTCGAGAGTGGTCTGTTGGAGGCTTTGAAGATCAAGAAGTTTGAGTGGTTCTCTCATTTTCGGAGTTGCCTGCAAGGAGATGGGAGGCCAAACATCGGGTTCGGCCTAAACCAACAATGTGTCTGTTTGCGACAAGGATCAGAGTCAAAAGCAGTTTAGTTAAATGATAAGAACAGCGGGATTTAACGCAGGTGCTCGCTTCATTAATACTTCTGGCCTACTCAATTCACGATGCCCTCCTCCACAACAGATTGCCGCTCAACTATTCAATTGGATGGCGTGGCAGTGCGTTGGGTGTAGCTGCGTTCAGAATACCTCCGCCTTGAATGTTGAAGCGTATATATATATATATTATGCATCTTATATATATATACATACTTTACTTGTCTAATCCCTGTGCTCAGTGGGTGCTGGTACATACAGCTTCCAAAGCTTGGCAAGCTGCCTAGTATGCGTACACTTCATGACAACTCCCAACCTGGTAGCTTGCTTTGGCCTTTGACACACCCTTGCCCCCCCTTTACCCCCCCTTGACCCCCCCTCCCCCTCCCCCCTCCTTCTCCCCCCCATCTTTAGTTTAACCCTTTGACTTGCCCACACATCGATTTTTCCGGCCCATTCGCCGGTTCCGTTAGGACCACCCACGGCATCTTCATGTTGGACGCTGGGTGCACCTCCTCCATGCTGACCTTCAGCACCGCCCAGCCCTCGGGCAGTCGAGAGTCCATGCGACAGAGATGGCTAGGACGGCTTAGGGCGCGAATGTTGTTTAGCCCTGTAAAAGAATCAAAAGGGGATGGGTAAGTTTGAAGGCATGAAACATAGCTCCACCGTTGAACCATTGAAGAGCCAGTTTGGGACGGGTAGGGATGGACATCCACCAGGTGATGACGGGGATTCATCGCCGCACCAAATCCTCCGGGGAGTTTAGACAATGGCAAGGAGTCCTATGGGGAACCATGGCCCAGATCGAGTTGCTCGACATGGGGTGGGCACGGGGCAAATTGCCAGTTTGGGCCACGGAAATCCGAGTTGGTGCTGATGAGCTTCAATGTGCTTTCTGGTTTGCGCAGTGCGCGTTCTTGGTGCTCACCCGAATCAGAAAGAAACCGCTGTTGATGGGGTGCTGTTCTTGCTTGCAAGTTGATGAAGGATACCCTACGTCATCGGTGGCACTGGGATTTCGGGTTCTTTTTCTACAATCCAGGATATCATTCCACCCGGCCCTATTTTTGCCAACCCCAAGTTTTGTTTCTCTCCATCATTCCTGTTGTTTTATGGCTCCCCCTCCCAAAAAAAAAACAACCAACATGTTGGGTCGACCCAGCCACCCCCACGAGAAACTCTCGGTCGATTTCTCCTAGGTGGGCGAGTCGCACTTCAAGCATTGGGTGTTGGACCTGGAGCAGCGGAACGTCAAGGCCGAAAAAAGGGGACTTGGGGACCGAAACGGCGAACATCCAGTCATAGGTGTCCTTTTTGGTAGAAAAATAGATGGGTTTCCCCGATTTTTACCTGGTGGTTGAATCATCTACCAGGGATATCCATCTATGTCCCCTAAAAGGACACCTCTGCATCCAGTGCGAACCTCTTGGTTAACTTTTGGTGTGTTTTTTTGGTTGGGTTTTCCTTTAATAGTCCAGCACCCAAAAAGGGTGGGTGTTTTTTCTCCCATGACCACTGGGTTTCCGAGGGGGGAGGGGGGTGGCGGGGAGCCCGTGTTCTTTTGACAATTTGGTCGAGGACGGAAACCGAGGAGAATTTAAACCAGAAAAGCAACCGCTGGGTTTAAATCTTGCCTTGGGGTTATTGAAGGAATGTGGCGGGCCGATGGATGTCGTTTCTGGTTTGAGTTTGCTTGAAGATACACGCACTCCACTGGTTTCTTGGTTCTTTGTGGTTCTTTGTGGTTCTTTGTCACTCCAGCTTTCTGCGTGCCATTTCTTTGCCGAAGAGGACGCCTTGGAAAGATCTGGGGTGAAGGCATGTGGGAGACAGCGAGTTCAAGCAGAGATGGTGGTTTGTGGCATGGTGGGTAGGTCTTGTTCGCTTGAATCTTGCCTGATGGCCGATCAAAGGAGGGCATTTACGCGCTTCTTGAGCAAATTGCCGGACTTATAAACCTGGGCTTTGTTTGTTCTAAGACGGCGTTGGTGTGCTTCGATCTCACTTTCCCGTGCAAGCAGAGGGGCGAAAGCAGCCTGGGCAGTCAGCTGAGGACTCGAAACCCCGAGGTGCAGGTTGGTACCTTGACCTTGACTGCTGTTGGGTTGGATCTTTAGACTTTAACTTTTTGGGAAGTAAAGGTGTGTTGCACTAAACCCCCAAAAAGTTTAACTTTTTGTAGAGGGGTCAACAGCAACCAAGGTACGGCAAGCAAGTTCCATTCTTTGCAGGGATGGATCTCGTGCTTCCTGTTACTGTAGTCGGCAACCAGGGGCAGGTCATGTAAAGCCTGGTGTACTTCCTGTACCCACTATAGTTGGTAAGTAGCTAGGGTAACATACCCGCCTGATATGACTATGGGTCAAAATTAAGCCACTATGGGTCGCCAAGTGTGGCCGTTTCGGTTTTCATCTTTCACCAGTCGGTGCAAGGTGAATCAGAAGAAGGGGGTCTTCGGCAAGTGCCCGGCCGCCAGGCCCAGTGTGCCACCTTTCTGTTTTTGTTTTTTCTTTCTTTCCGGTTTGGCTTGCGTGCCCCACTAACACTGGTCAATCCCCAAAAAGGGGATTTCCCTTTTTCTACCCAGAGTCACTGGAGAGAAAGGGAGAGTTGGGTTGCGGTGCTCCGGTCTTTGGAGTTGTCGAGTTGAGTTTCATAGGCTTACGCCGACCATCGGAAAGACGGCATATGGATTTTCCTGCGCAGATGGGTGTTTCTTGGGCCATTCCCTTCAGTTGGTTAGTTTCCTGGCCGCGATTCTCCAAAGCCAACAAGGGGACCCTATGTTCAGAAACACCGAGATAGACTGTTGGTTGTGGGCGTAATCCAACATGTCATCCGTCAGCGGCGGCATGCTTGGTTTTTGGTTGCCTGTCTTGCACGATTTTTTGTCAATATGCCCAACATGAATTATAAACATCTGGTATTGCTTGCTTTTCTTCAAGTACGCTGTAGCTCCCACAATGAAACCACAAGGCTTTGGGAGAACCAGCGTCCTAAGCTGAGGGCTGATTGACATTGACCTACAGCATGCACGTGTGATGAAGACTTGCAAGATTTCCGTGTTGCTTCGCCCGTGTTACCTCCAATCACATCTGAAATAGGGAACGTGCTTCTCATCTTTTTGTGGTGTACTTGCTTTTGACCATCCGAAAATTCGCAAACGAGATTGAGAAAACCGCGGGATGTGAACCGTTTCCCGCAGAGAGTGCATCGCGGTTGGAAGCTAGCCACCCCTAGAGACCTGCTGGTTCCATTCTGCAACTCGCAGGTGCCCACTGTGATACCAGGCCTCCTGGAAGCTCAGAATTTGCCAGGGAATCTTGCAGTCATTTGTTTCCCGGTCACGATTTAGCGCTTGATATGTTTGTTCAAGCAAACCGCGCATCCAGCGTTGCCATCCTGTAATGGTGCGATGGTATGACGAACGGGTCGGCTTGCGGGCATGCCTGCCTGGCATTCCCAGGCCCTAGGTGCTGGTGATGCATCCAGAGCGTTCCACAGGCGTACTCGAGCTCAACAAACAAGTCCCATGAGGCTGGTGATGCAGCCAGAATTGTGCACAGGCACGAGGTTTCATATCATTTTGCAAACTATAACGTCAGACAGTTTTCCGCATGCTGATCTGATGATGCAAAGATCAAGGGCTTTGAATGCTTGGTGATGGTCGGTCTGGCATCCCGACTTCAGGTAGGGTATTTTCTTGTGTTTGTGATTGGACGCCAGCGCTGGATTAGCAACTCTGTCAGAGCTCCCTTTTTTCTTGGTTGTGGTTTGGCGTGGCTGGCACGGGAGGAAAAGGCTACGGCTATGTAAGGGACCATGTAACAACTGCCCCATAGCAGCTGTCACAGCTGGCCAAATCCTGGTGATGCTGGTTATGCTGGGGATGCTAGGATGCTTGTGATGCCATGTTGCTGGTGATGCTAATGATGCGGACAGCTGCAGATCAAGCACAAAAGCAACCCCTAGAGATTTCCTGACGAACGTCAGACTTTTTTTTGGGGAACACATCTATAGGTTGCCTAGGTCCCCCAGTAGTGCCGTTCCGCTACTAAAATAGACTACAGCAAAAAGGGTACCCTTATTCTAACCTCTCCACTTGAGGACCTGGTTGCGTTAGGGCAAAGGTCGTTGATCGGCTCCCTATGGACAGGAACCCGACCGGCTGGGCATGGCACGACCAAGATGGTACTGCCTGCCTGGTGTTTGCCTCAGAAATTTAAGTCGTCCGGCCAGAACCAATGGGATCTACCCGAATCCAACCTGTCATTGGAGGGCAAAAACAGTTGTGTATTGTTTTGAGGGTACCCTTTTCAGGCTAGTTTAAAGGGAAATCAACTGGAAAGCTGAAACCACTTTGGGTCCTGGTCCAAATCATACCCAATAAGAACCAAGAATAGTTGCACACATGGTGTTGCAATCCACACTGTTCGGCAGAACACCCAGAAGATGACAATAGACTCAGTTGTGTTCCAAAATATCCAATACGGACCACCAGTTAAGGCCCCATGAATAGCCCACGGCCACGTGTTCCACGTGGTCATCGCAATGAATGTTGCTTCAGTGGGGCGAGTGCGACCGAGAGGGGGCTGGTGTTAATGAATCGGCGTGTTGCTGCAGGCCACAATGTGCGGGAAGTGGGAAGAACGTCACAAATGAATGGTGGACATAATTCTGCGAGCGATATCCTCCACTGTAGGCCCAAATAGAGTTTGTTCCCATCATACACGCTGCTGACTAGAGTCAGGAACCAGTGGAAGGGACGGATCTATTTGGTCAAATGGTTCGTCACCCAGGGAATTTTATTTTGTGTGTGTGTGGTTGTGCGTTTGCGTGCTTCGGTTGGTTGGTTGGTTGGTTGGTTGGTTGCTTGGTTGCTTGGTTGCTTGGTTGCTTGGTTGCTTGGTTGCTTGGTTGCTTGGTTGCTTGGTTGCTTGGTTGCTTGGTTGCTTGGTTGGTTGGTGCAGTTTGTTTTGTTGTTTTGTTGTGTGCAGGAAGGACCGAATCCATCGTGTGTGTGTGTGTCTGTGTGTATGTGTGTGGCTCTCTCTCTGTCTCTCTCTCTCTATCTTTATCTCTCTTTCTCTCTCTTATTCTCCCTCGTTCTCTCGCTTTCTCTCTCTTTCTCTCTCTTATTCTCTCTCTTTCTCTCTCTCTCTGTCTCTATTTCTCTCTCTCTCTCTCTTTCCGTCTCTCTTGCTCTCTCTCTCTCTCTCTCTCTCTCTCTCTCTTTGCTTGCGTCCAATTCAACAAATGGGAGCCATGATGCTTGGGGGAATGGCATAGAATGTCAACCCCCGAAGCATACACATATGAGCGTGTACAGCCACTGTGGAAAGATCCTGCACCCGTTTGGATGCATGAATCCCTACGAAAGCTTTGTTCAAACTACCTACCAACTGGCGCCTGGAGTGGATTTTGTCCATCCAGCATATCGTGTACCTCACGTGAGACTCCGAGAGCCCCCCCCCTCCTCCCCAGCCATGAGGTTGGCGACAACGGCCACATCTTTTTGGTGACCAATCACAGTGCCACAGCGGCCAAACGTTTGGCCGCGGCCTTGAGCTTGCTCGTGCCGTCAAGCCCACCTTTGAGTGATGACCATAGGTTCTGCTACATGGTTTTACGCAGCTAAGTACATCCCATGTTATGGTTGCGGTTCTACTGCATGATTCTACTGCCTGGCGACAGTGTAAATATTCAATCCGGACATTTCTCCAACTGCGTGAATGAGAATCGCACGAAACCGGAGGTTTCCTTTTGGCTTCGCTTCAAAGCAGGCAAAGGGGTCGAGGTTCAGCTGATTGGTTGCTGACTTCGCAGACTTAAGGTGCTTGCAGTGCATCCCCAAAGCGTGCCGTTTTTCATGCGTGCTGGAACCCGCCGCGCATGGTCGTTCGCCCTCCGCGCTTTGCTCCCCCCTTCCCCCTCCCCAGCACATTGGACGTTCTATTAAGTTTGTTTGCTGCTTGGCCGAATGGGTTGAACCCCCACCCGACCCCATGTCCGAGGGATGGGACGTACTTGGGTCGAGGGGGGGCCTGGTGCAGTGGATTCAAGGTTTGCAACGAGGGCTATTCTCGAAAATCACCCGCAGGTGTTGGTGATCAAGTTTTCGTGCCAATTTGAGGTTTGGACTTGTCGCAGAAGAATCTACTCTCCTGATCAATATGAAACCAAAATCATCACCGGAGGGCTTTTGGCGGGCTCCTTGTCCATAGGATTCGGGTTTGCCGATCGCTGACGCGTGGTCTGAACATGGGCTATGTTGCAAACCGGTGAACCACTACTTGCAGGAAATGTGGGAGGATGCTCATTGTATTTCCCCCAGGGTCCACAACAAGTATCAGCTACGTAGCTTTGAAGTTCGGCTTTACTCAGGTGATACCTGGGGTCTCCGCATAACATATTTTAAGGCTCACTAAACATGAATCAGAAACCGTTGGGTGTACCCTGGGGGTGAGTCAATATATATATATATATATGGGTCCACATATCACGCACAGCTTCTTGTACGACGCTTTTTTCTTTGGCTCCGCTGGTAACACCTCATACGACTGAGGCACCAGGCACGGGTGGCTTGGGCTGCGCCGGAGGCCTAGTTCTTGTTCTCTCCTTGCAAAGAGTTGCGCATCTCTTATCAAATCCCCAGAGATATGAATCCTGATCAAATGGTCGTTCATGGTCACTGAATGTGAATCCTGAATTCCCCAGTCCAACCATTGCCTGGTCTATGGTGAATCAGGGGCTTGGGACGGGCGACGAAATATCTGAAGATCAAGCTGATCCAAGGCTCGCAAGGCTCCGTTCAAACGTGGGCGCGTTTTGCTTCATCGGCTTACGTCCCAAATGGGGGCTTGCTCAAGAGTCCTCCCCCAAACTGTTTGGTTTCCTGTTGGTGTTCCTGTCCAACCGATGGGGGGTCCAAGATCCATTTTGAGAAACACTGAAATTGAAGGCTTGGTGAGTGTGAACCTGGAAGAAACACCACACTTGATGCAGGCTTGCGGAAAGTGAACAAATATTGCCATGGAATTACCCTGGACAACATAGCGTCGACTTTGTACTCTGCAGGGAACTAAGTCGGCACCAATCAGCAGTGGACGACGACGCACTATTGGACTGAGGCAGCGGACATTAGATTGCTGCAGCTTTGCCTGAAAGCACGCACCTTGTTGAGCATGCTGTCGAAACACATGTCACCCCATTCTTGCAGCCAGGCAACTTGGTGTTTGTGTCTTCGACTGTTAGCAGAATGTAGTTTCTCAATTCGCCTGCGTGGCAATGATGGGGTCCAGGTGTGCTCAGGAACAAACTCGGCAACTCACCGCTTTCCCCTTGATCAATCACTTACGTCTCCAATCCAAACTTTTGAGTTTCCAAGCATCTTCCACCCTGACTGAACAAGGACATTAACCAGGGTTGGGGCAAGAAGAAGGTTTAAGCCATCAGACCCTCATCCCTACAGAGAAACCAACAGGATTCACAAATTAAACAGGCGGGTGGGACTCTGAGAACTCAGCCCCGTGTTGGCTGAAAAGATCGGCTCGGCTCCGCGCGAGGTGGCCAGGCTGCCGGATGGCCGATGGATTGCTGGATCCATGGAGGGCAACATCTACATTGGCCGCCTGGATGAAGCGATCGGTTTCAAAGCCAGAGGGGAGCCCAGCCCAGTGGGACCCGTTTTCTTCCTCCTTAATTTTTTTTGGGGGGCAGGGTTCCCCTTTCAAGTCAAAGGATGCCGATTCTGTTTTCCCCATACAAATCCACTGGGCATCCGAGGGAGCGTGGGGTTTCCATCAGAACTCTCCCCCAGTTGGAGGAAACCGAAGGGCCGAGCATTTTCAGCTGCAGACCAGGCGCAGTCTTCATGCTGCGGCGGCACCACCAGCATCACTAGCATCCACGAACAGCATTGGTCCTGATGCTGATCCTGCTGGTGGTGTTGTGCCCGATGTATGCGCGGGCTCTGTTAGGGGCCTTGGTTCTGCACCCTCAGCGAGCCCAGCGCTAGAGCCATCTGCAGCTACACGGGGAACACCCAGAAACTCCCCCTGCACAGCCGGCACCGACATCAGCACCATCCTCCTGACCGCAGACAGCAGTGCAACTCCTGGTCACTCCTAATGTAGCCGCAGGGGCGTGGGGTGGGAAGCTAACAATTTGTGGTGAGGCAACCAGGGGTTCCAAGTTGAGCCACCATGTCAATGTCTTTTCAGAACCGCCATTGTGTTTGGGAAAAGGAGGCAACGTCAGAACCGCCTTAAGCTTAGCCTCCTTTGCCCGCCAAGACCTTGGGAGTGGCCAGGGAGCACCCAAAGTCTCAACCCAGGGCTGGCGCCAGGCTCAACTTGCAGGCATAGTATTGATTGTTTCTCTTTTGTTACTTGTTTGATGTTTATAAATTATATTATTAACCATCTAATGAAAGGTCTTAAGCATCTACTGAAAGGTCTTAAGTTGCAGACTAGCCCAAGGGCTGGGGCAAACTGGGGCAACGCTTGCAGTCCTGGAGCACGCAGGGACGGAAAGCCTTTTCCAGTTGCTCTCGCAATAGCCACACCCCAGAGGCCTTGGACATCCCATATTTCGTGCAGATGACGTATTTTCCCTTACAGCCCTTTGTTCATCATTTTTTGTTTTCATGGTTGCATGCCGCCCCCCTCCCGTCGGCAGATTTGGATGCTGTAAATCATACAGTCTCTTTAGAGAAAGAGGCGGAACTTGAAGTGTGCGCCGATTTGATATATCGTGCAACACTCTGATTTTCGGGAATGTGTTAGGGTCGCATGACGTAGCATGGTGTTGTATTTGTCGCTTGCATGGCTAGTTTTAAGTTGCACACGTGCGGCAGTGGGTGTGGACGCCTGACAAGAACAGATGGACTATGCTGCTCGTTTTCGTGATTGAGCTCCGTTCTCGGGACTTGTTGCAACAAATTGCTTGGCCAGGAGGCACGCAGCGTGTCACATGCTTGGCGATCCCAGTGGATAAAGATGTGACCTGTAGAAGACAGTAGGCAGATGAGTTGATGTTCTCAAGAGATATCCGAGTGCAACAGCACGCTTCGTTCCTTTTTGCCCGCAAAACATTGCCAACCCAAAACGCAAGCCCCCTTTTCAACTAATCTTTTGGGTGGTTTGAAAGTGAACCTAATAGAAGGCCACCATTGCGGGATACACCGCGAGCTTGTGGGAAGGTCCAGTGAAAGCTGACGCGATTGATACACAAGGCCCCTTGAGGGGTCGGGTCCTGGTTTCCCGTTAGCTCAGACTCGCGGCACGCGCCCAGGTTCAGTTTTTCCCTTCAAGCTGGAGGAGCCACCAGCAAGAGCTGTAGCAATGCGCGTCTGAAATGATTGCTGTAGGGGGTTATTTGCCGTAAGCGGCTGGGATTTGCAGAGCGATGGGTAAGGCAATGATCAGGATAACATGCCTAGCTGTCAGTCATTTTGAGTGCCTGGATCTGACGCATGGCGCCAAACTTGATCATGGGCGTGCTCAACATGGGTTCTCAAAATTTGGGACTACTCCAGGTAGGTTTACTCGGGTTTTCCCTTCACACCGTACGAAATGCCAAAAGGGGTCCATCAATTTGAGAACGCGCGTTGTTCACTCTCACTTGCCGAGTTCCTGGACTGTCCTCACGTTTTGGGATCGGACCAATTTGGTGGTAAAATTAAGGTTGGTTACGTTTTTTGGCCAAGCAACTCAGGGAGTCAGCTCGCAAATTCAGGAGGAATTCCACTTCTCCCAGCTTCGGGGACAGGACGTGCAGGCCCTTTGGGGGTCAATGGGCGAGATCGAGACGCCCAGCCAGTTCCACCTGCTTCCGTTTTTGGCCAAAGGAAGGGGGCTGCCGAAGTCGAGAAACAAGAAAAGGGGGCCAATTCTTGGAATTTTGGAGTGCTACGATGCAACTGCTCGACGGCCCCAGGCCCCGCAAGCATATAGGTCACAGGAACGCCTCATCCGGGGACTGCAACCAGGGCTTTCCACCTGGGCTTGACTTTGTTGGGTGTACCCTTTTTGGTGTCCAAACGGAAGCAATTTTGGGGCAAAGCGCCCATGAGAGCCGAATTCAGAACAGCGTTGCTCCGAGCTGCATGATCAAAACGCAAGGGGCCAAAATCGGGTTTGGCACCTGTATTTTCCATTGTTTCCTTTGCTTTCTTTGTTTCCCATTGTGTTCTCTTATTTGTTATTTTCATTTGTCCTTTCTTTCCTTTGTTTGCCTTCCCTTCCTTTGTTTCTGCCCTGGGGGTGTTGGAGCAATCCTGACTCACTGCCTTCGAGACCCAGGTCGAAAGGTGGGGGAGAGCCCCGACCGATCCTTTGCAGTTCTTTGCAGAATTCAGCACGTGTCCAAATATGGTGACCCCGAAATTGTTGGTTTCCTTTGGTTGCCTTTCAAGCCCCCAAGAAGCGTAGACTCGAAAAATTGGGTAGGCTTCTTTTGTACTCACTGGATTGCAACTGGGCTGGGGGCTATTGTGTCACCCACAGAGTCTAGGTGCCCCAGTAGCGCCCTTTCTCAGCCCTTTTTTGGGGAGGGTTCCCCTACTAAAATAGACTACAGAAAACACATCGGGTGCCAACTATTCTAACTCGCTTTGATTGTGACTCCTGAGTTCATGACCTTCAAACTTTTTGGGACCAGTTTAGTGGTAAATATATGTAAATATAAAGTTTGGACTTTTTTAGGCCATCCACTCAAGTGAGCTTGACGTTTTGGCCAGGCCTTCTGCAGCACGTCCTCGGCCCGCTTCAACTCCGTATCGGTGCTGGCGCCTCAAGGGGAATCCCTCAGGTCCGGCCTCCGGCCGGACCTGCCGGGGGAACCCATTCCATTTGGTTAAGAATCTGGGTGTGGAATTCTCAAAATTAATGAGCTAGGGCAAACCGCAGGTTTTTGTCCATTCCACTTACCAGGGCAACCCATTTTGGTAATTACCGGTTTTTTGAGCCACACCCATAATATGTTGTTTATTTTCTCCTGTTGGTTTTAAAGGGAATCTATCACTGCTGGAAATATGGTTTTATTGTTTCCAGGGGACTTAAGCAAATGGAGGCATGCGAAAGTCTGGATAAGGAGAATCCAGGGCTACCCGTTTTGTGGTGGCAACCTACCCGTAGGAAGGGACACTTGGGCAACCTGCTGGAGTCCCCAAGTTCTTTGAATTGGTCCTCAACATTCTCGTCCGGAACGCCAGAAGCCTCGAATCAAGATCCAAGTGCACGGATGGGTTTCTCTCAACAGATACGCAGTTGGTTTCCTTACCCCCTGAGAAAGGGGGTAACCCTTCAAAGTCAAGCCACGAACATGCTTCCTCTTGGCTGGGTGGGGTTCTCTTCATTCTCCTGTTCACACGGCCACTCTTCAGCCAGTGAGCAAATTGCTGGTTTCCAAGAATCACCCAAACGTGAGTATAGATATTATTCAGCGTACATATACGTACGTACGTGTACATCCAGAAGCATGGATAATACGATATGTCTTTGTGCCAAGCAGAAATCTACTTCACGCAGTGGGCAACCGGTTGCTGTAAAACCTGCGTCACCCTAGCAACCTAATATTTGAGCCACACCCAGGTCTGGCCACATGGCCGTCTTCGGCGCTGCGAACCACGCCTGGCACTCAGTCAACACGTCGAACACCAGTGCGGTTGCAAGCGGATAGGACGTGCGCCTGGTGTTTGTGTTGCTGTTGTTTGGAGTGCTTCTGTCTGGGTGGCAATCTGTACGTTTCCCCAAAAAGGAGGACCCCCAAAAGAATGCTACTAGATCTTTGGAGTTGGCTTGAAACACCAGCCAAAGAGGGTGCTCCAATTTCCGTCAACCATCTAGGCTCTGGATGGTTCAGTGGAACTTGCAAGCCTGTCGATTTCGGGGTATCACTTTTAATGACAGGTGCCTGGAACTCGGGGTATCACAGTACCACCTGTTGAGCCCTGTGGAGTTGTCTCCTCGGACACGTGGGGCTATAGGTCCAGGGATCCACGCCAGCTCGGCCAGAACCTTCACCAAGATCCCCTTGCGCATGCTCTGCTTCGGCTTCCACGCGATCTTTTTGGGAGAACAGGCACGCGGGACGTGGAATTACCCCTTTGCCCCCCATGCATCACAGGCACGCTTTGCCCTGCTTGTCAAGTAGGCAGCATGTACTCGTTGACGTCAAGTATCGCGGGGCAGAGCTAGTGCGCATGAGTTTCAAGTGCGAACCACTTACATCGGGATTCATGTCCACAAGCCGCCAGCCGTAGGGAACGCGATAGCTGCACAGTAGTTCTTAAGGGACTCACGTGTTTCGAGTCTTTTGACCGAAGGCTAGCTTTCAGCACTCAAAAACACACACCTCAAGCATTGCATTCCAAGACACAAGACTACGCTGAGCTCATTCAGAAACATGGAACACAGGTAAAGCACATCAGCAACTCGAGTCAGTGAGCATTAAGATGAGCAACGGCGTTTGTCCAGTGGCCAGCCTGCGGCTATGAACTTCAATGAACACCCTAAAGAATCGAAAAGAAGGTGCCAGAGATCAGGGTATGAAATGTCAGTGACACACAGGCCCTCTTTTTTCTTCGAACAGATACATGGGAGTCTCGCAAAATTGGGTACTTGTACAACTGTGTAGTTGCTATTTGACCGAGAAGGACGTTCAGCTTTGGGATTGGGAAGTGCTGAGGCATAAGTAATTCTGCGTTGTTTTTTGTTTGAGGGTACCCTTTTCAGCTTGGTTCAAAGGAAAAACAAAGGAAAAACTCCGTGTTGGGTCCAAATCCATCCAAATCCCTTTGAAACATACCATCTTGTGACATAGAGCCTCACAGGTCTCGGTTTGGAACATTTTCTCCTTAAGGGACCTGGTAAGGTGCCATGTTGCAACGTGGTGAGGGCACCCAAATGGGTTTGTCTCCAAATAGGAACCCTGTTTCCCCTTTTTTTTAACACAACCCGTGAAAGATTGCCCCAAAGAAGGACACCCAGGGCCAGGGGTGGTTTTAACGGGAAACCAAAGGAACGCCACCCGTTTGTTTTAAAGGACCAACCTTTTTGTTTGCAAACCCAAAGGCGTTCCAGAAATGGCCATCGGCCGAGGCCCTTTTCTTGGTGGACTACTTGCGCCGCGAGCGCTGGGCCGAGATATACGGTGGGTTCCCGATTTTGAAGCAAACCCAATTGTCCGGTGAATGAAGGTTTGTTGGGCAGCCCACCTGAAACCAGTTCATTTTCCCGTATGGCTCCAGACGAAGCAGACCTCTCCAAATTTGGTGGGTCGTGTTGCTTCGCTTTGAACCATCGCCCCCAGTTCTTTGCAGGGTGGTCACCCCTAAGCCACCATTTCGATTACAGGTTTAAGGATGCCCCCAGAAAAGGGTCCCCAGTTTGAAAGAATATGGCCATGGTGCAACTAGGATGAAAGGAAGTGCCACAAGTTTTCCGTGCATGGCTAGCTTTTGGTGAGGTAACGAACGTCAGCAACTCAGCACTGTTGTTACAGTGAGGTACATAGGCACATGTTTGCTGGGATGATTCGCGGGGCATGGCACATTGAAGCACACAATGTAAACAACACAGTACAGAAACGACGAGGATCGCATGGAGCCAAACCTGTTCTTCTGTTGAACATTATTATTGCAACTTGTTGGCTCATGTACAACGCTGTTGTGCCGCTTGATCACTGACACGCTTTGGCTTTGATGCCTCTGGGGCCCAGGCTGCTGCGAGTTCTGCAAGTCTCCCATAGCGCAGAGGCGTCTTTTGGCCGGCGGGTTTGGTTGGGGGAGAGCAGGGCTGGGGCCATGGGGCCTGAATGCAGGGCACCGGGTTCTTTTGATTGGGCGACCCAAGGGAACTGGTGTGCGGTCCAAGACAAACGAGTCCCTGGCATCGTGAGCTGCACTTCTGTCACAAGGATGCCACAAGGATGCCCGATTGAAGAACTGAATGTATGCTTGTCTTGTTTGCAGCCTTTTCTTCCTATCTATTCAGGAACCCCGTCGCTTCGATGGCTTCCGATGGGCACAAGGAAGCCCACTGGACGGCTGTTGGAGTTTTTGTTGATTGGCAGGCAAAGCCATAGGCCGATGCGGTCCAAAAAAGTGTCCAACCAGAACAGGTGAGAAAAAAACGCCACCTTTGGGTTTTTATTTTTGGGGGGCTACCCACAGAATGTATGTTTTCTTTTTGAGGGTACCCACAACATGTTGGTTTCTTCTTGGGGGGTACCCACCAAATCGCGGGTTTTATTTCTGTCGCGCCTTTCCCTTTCCGCGCATTTTTGCCAAGCCTTTGCGAGGCTTGGGCCCTGGACTTTCATCCCAGCCTCTCCATCATGGCCGCTGGGCGAAAATCGGAGGCTGAGCGGCCGGCTAGGTCAGACGTGGGCTTGGACCCGGAATGGGACATGGACCCGGTCGATTGCGTGGTGTAGCATTTGGTCTTCCTTTACTTGCTCCCGAAGGCCATCCGGTTCCTTGGCTTCTTAGGCTTTTAGTGTTTGGTAGTTTCCATTTAACCCACTAAAAGTTATTCACTTTTAGCGGAGGATCTGAGCCCAGACCAATTGAGGGGGCTCCCCCAAATCAAAGACACACCCGTTGGGCATGGCATGATGGAAACGGACTCGTTTGGAGTTCAAGATCAGAGGCAGCGAGTGGAGATAGGGCATGATTTGCAATCGGTGTTTTCTCCCTGAGCTACTGTGCCAGGAAAAGGGGCGGAGGCAGGCAGGCGAGATCATAATATCTTTCATTTGGATGGAAAATGGCCTGCTTAGATTCGGGTGTGTCTTTTTTGAGGGAACCCGCAAAATCGTTGTTTTCATTTTGGCTTCCCCTCAAAGCCAACCAAAAAGAGACGGCGTGGGGCTGAATTTGGTTTCCACTGTCTGAGGCGGCCCCGCCTTTTCATCAAGTGGAATACGCAGCGCAAAGTGTTCGCAAAAGGGTTCAAGCTTTTGGCCCTTTCCAACTCACCGAATCAGGCACAAGCAAAACGACAAGTAGAGTGGAATGCAAGCAGTCACCAAACAAAAGGTGCGGCAAGAACCCCCTGCGATGCTTGTTCCCCTCAAATGACTTCATTGTGTGGAGGTGTAATCCCTCTTCCAGCACACATGTTTGTATTTCGAGGGTCCCATTTTTGTGGGTTCTTCCAATTTACCGTGTTTCATTTGATTCAGAGCCGCATCAAGGAAGATGTTCAGCCTAGTGACTAGTGACCAGTATCTAACAGTGCCCATTGGCAAAGAAGATCAAAGAAGGGTTGGCCATGAACTTCCCATTGCTATGACTTTGCATCAGTGGAGCGTTGGTGGGGGGATGCGCAACTCTGGCCGCGTTTCGAGCGCCAAAGGCCACCGGCTCCGCCAAAGGGGGCGTGCGCTTCTGGAACGTGGCAGAACGCACGCCTGCGGTGGGCAAGGCGCGGGAAGGGTTTCGACCTCCCAGCTCCCCGTGGTCCAAGCATGGCAACCCAAAGAAGTCATGTAGAAACTCAGCTTGAACAAAAATAAAGCGGCCTTTTGCTTGTTTCCAAACATCGCCTTTGGGGTCCATGTTGAGGGAATTTCATGATTGAAAGGAAGCGCAGGGAGCCCTGTCCAGTGGGGCTTCGTTTTGCTTGGAGCCCAACCCATGGCCCATGGCCACTAGAGATCTGAGGTCTTTGGGGGTGCAGTTGGCATCCGAGGAGCTGTGGCATCAGTTGGGGATCAAATTTTCTCACGTGTGAAAGGGAGTCCAAAGCTTGGTGCTCAGGCGGGAATGACTCCGGCCGTTGGGAAGGAGCCTACAAATTCCCTGAAAGGAAATCTATAGTGGATGGTTTTGGGGGGAGGCAGTTCAATGGCCCAGGCGGGTGCAGCATAAAGCTGATCCGTGAAGTTTGCATGTTCAATCCAATGGGCATGAAGTGTAGTTGGGACCTCTTGGTGGACATCATTCAGGTGTCATGTCCAACCACAAGGGCGGGGGTTTCCCTTCAATTCTGGTCTGTGGTGTGACCAAATCGCCCCTGAGACCTTGTGGAGACAACTGACTTTTTCGCCGCACCGACTAAACCTACAAATCTCATGGGCCGCGTTCCGGGCCTTGGAGCTCCCCAGAAAACCGCCAGAGGACGCTTCCTGCAAGGTGCTGAGATCGGAGCAGAACCTGTCGCTGTGGTCGTTGGCATTCCGGCCAACTGCCCGGAGTCCCAGACGTCGACAAACTTGACGCCGGAAGGTCCTTCGTTGGCTACCGCTGGCCATGGTTGGCATACCTGGATCTTCCGAAGTCCGATTTTTTTCTGCTTTTTCGTGGGACGCTGCATTTTCAGGGAAGGTCATCATATTTTTGCCTGGACGCAGTTTTCCTGTGTTAAGCTGGCGGAGGCGTTTTTCCCCGATACAAAGGCGTTTTTTGGCGACACACAGGCGTTTTTTGCCGAACCCTGTTCTAGGCAGGTGTCCCAAGGGCGCTTTTTGAAGGAAAAGGTTTTTTTTTTTTTAATGGAAACGACTAAAATTTATGCAGTTACGGCAAGAAGTTAAAATTCTCCACTCCGGGTTTTCTAGGTATGTGTAATTACAGAAACCTACCGATGGCTTTACACAAAATACGTTTTTTGGAGTTTTTTTTTTGTTGGCCCCCCCGAACAAATGGCAGGTGGATGACGCCTAGCCTTCTCCAGCAAAAGCAAGTGCCAGTTCCCCCGACCACAGCAGCGTATTCCAGTCACACGTTGAGTGCCTGACGTGACAGTTGGCGATCATATCCTCATGTTCGACGGGTCTCGTTTTCAGCTCGGCGACCCCTAGTGGTGTCAATGGACAGCTAAATGGAAAGCTGGGCCCTGTGTTCGATGCA